CCTTCTTCAAGAGGATGGTAATGGCTTGTTGATCGCTCCAAAATTTTGTACAAATTTTCTATAATACCCAGCCAACCCTAAGAAGCTACTAACCTCTTTGATAGATGAAGGAGTAGGCAAATTCTTGACTTTAGCAACCTTACTTGGATCAATTGCCACTCCCTGAGCACTAATGATATGACCCAAGTATGCCAACTTTCTTTGTGCAAAGGAACACTTTGATAGTTTAGCCTTGAATTGTTGTTGTTGGAGTAGGCAGAACACTTATATGATGTGAACAAGATGATCATCCCAAGTTTTACTATATATTAGAATATCATCAATAAACACCACAACCAATTTTCTCAAAATAGGACATAATATTTTATTCATTTCATGTTGAAATGTGGTAGGTCCCCTAGTCACCATATGGCATAACCTTGTATTCATAGTGCCCATGGTGTGTTTGAAAAGCTGTCTTTGAAACATCATCTTCAGCTAGCAATATTTGATGGAATTCATAGGATATATCTAGTGTGGTGAACCATGTTGACCCAACAAATTCATCCAAAAGTTCATCAATAACAGGTAGTGGAAACTTGTTCTTGATCGTCAAGGCATTCAAATAATCCACACAAAGAAGCCAATCTCCTATCTTTTTCTTAACTAGCAGAGCTAGGGAAGCACAAGGGCCTCACTTTCCTGAACCCATCCATTCTCAAGTAAATGTTGTACTTGCCTTTCAATTTCATCCTTCTGGGATGAATTATATCTGTAGGGCCTTAATCTAAATGGTTGAACCCCTGAGATGAGTGGAATAGTATGAACTAAAGCCCTCTTAGGTGGTAAACCAGTAGGAGGAAGAAATATATATGTGAACTCGTGTAGCACCCAGTTTTAAGAACAAAACCAGATACACACCATATGTGAGCCCAGGAAGTCAAATCTCACATATAGCTACAAATAAGGGTAATATCATAAGGCAATGCTTATTACATAGCGTATTAGTGTAAAGAATACAACCTCATAGTATAGACAGCGGAAATACAACTTTGATCTTCAGGTGAAGACTCCACTTCCACAGGGATAACTGACTGGTTGATCACAAGCCTAATTCCTCCAAACTCTAGCAATCTGGTACCTATTCGGGATTTTTTTTTCAAATATGTGAAAAATAAAGCAAGCATAAGTACATGTCGTACTCAACAAATATAACATGGGGTTCATGAGGCTCAAAAGGCTAACACTGGTTTAACTGCGATTAGCTTTTAATTATCACAATTTTAGCATAGGAGTAGCAACAAGTTTATCACAAGCCCAAATAAACACATGACCAGGTAAACATGAATAATGAATATCATAAACAGTAATCATTAGTGAGCATCTTCATCATCAGTATCATCAGTGTTCATCATCTATTCCATAAGGGTCCAAGGTCGCTCGTGACCGTGAGCACGACTGATATACCAGTTTTACACTCTGCAGAGGTTGTACACTTTCACTGTGACTCGTGATTTACCCCTTTGCCCGAGGCAGCCAACCTCTTGACCCACTACCAAGGAAGGTCAGTAGGGTTCACTATTAAGCCTTTCAAAGGTTCATCTAACAAGTTAGGGCCTCTAGGTTTCTGTGCCCTGCGAATGTAGGGCTCCTCTTTCGACAGGCATAATGACGTGTAGCCTATACACTGACGGACAGAGGCCACACTATATCCAACCCGAAACACACCCCTCTTGCGCCATAAAGGTAACCTCTAACAAGCTAGAAAAGGTCCTCATACTGAGCTAAAGCCAGAGCCATGTAGCCCTCATAGCTGTATTGTAAGTCACAGATGTTCACTTACAGATAAGTCCTTAGGGAGAGGAATCTAGAGCACCATAAAATAGTCCAATGCTCTCGCGCCCCTTGTTCCATGTTCCTAAAAAGCATCTTTTAATGTTTGTTGCATATACCATTAGTCAAGTTATATGATCATGGCTTTAGTTGAGCACTAGCATCATACCGCCCAATGCATAAACCCATAGGAATCAAGGTACAAGGTAACAAAGTACTATAAAATCCTTAGTGGTAGTCAAGGTAGACACATGCAGTATGAATTAAATGATTAAAGGTGTATAGAACAACAAGGATGATCCCATGCTACACTTGCCTTAAAACTCAGATCCTTCTTCTACTGAATTGTAACCTCCAAAAGACTTCTTCTGGATCACCAACTTCTTCTATTTTACCAACGCAAAGCTCACCGACTGGACATGATCATAAAACACCACACAAGCATCCATGTATTCATACACGAAGCAAACAATAGATCTAAATTAGAATAGTACACCAAATAGATGAAACAACAAGTAAAAATGTTTTAAAGATGTTCTATACGTTGCTACGAACACACAGACGCGAAAAAGCATGCTAATCGGAGCTACGGTGAAAAGATACAACTACCGAAAGATTTGTTTTAAAAAGAAAACTATAGGCTTCATTTATTTTAATTATAAAACATATATAAGATACTTCAGAAAATTATCTAAATTTAATTACGTCAAATTATATTTGTATTAGAAAACCAACATAAGATTAATCTTATTTTATTTACAAAAGACTACGGTGAAAATCCCTAATTGCTTTTAATTAAAAAACTAATATAGATTAATCAAATTACTATTTTATTCAAAAGCTTCAAACATGCTAAACAATACCACTAATACGTAGATTACGTTATTACGAATCTAACGCAACTTGAATGGATCAAATCGGAGTTAAAACGGAAAAGATATGGCCTACTGAAGGTAGTGGCAATTTTGTAAATAGATGGAACTTTATTTTTGAATTAAAATAAATAAAATCTGATTTTTAAATCTGGCCGAGGACTGCGAGCACTATTTAAAGAAAAGGCAGGGGTCCTTTTGAAAGAAACCAGGAACGGCGGGTTCAAATATCTAAAACCATAGGGACTCTTTAGCAAAATAGCAGGCGAATCGGTATCTTCTAATCTGGGCCATGAATCTTAGATTAGACAGCCACGATGTGTTGGGAAAGATTTGGCCGCCGGAACAGTAGCTGCGCAGTGGTTGCCATGGCCGGACTTGGCCAATCTTGCCGGAGTTCATGTAAAACGGCCCACGGGCCACGGCAGAGTGAACCGATAGCATCGGGAGGTAGAGGAGAGCATGACGAACTCACCACAATCGATTACCGCGGTGTGGAGCGAACGGAGGCGGCGCGCGGCACAGCAGGGTGGACGGCGTTGACGGCGGCGCTGCGAGCTCGATGCGACGGCTGCGCTAGGGTTATGCAAGGGGCGGCTTGTGCTTAGGTGGATGCGGTGGACACGGCCCACTATTTATGGGGGCCAGGAGGCTTGGGCCGCACGGCAAGGCACGGTGGCGTGGGCAGCGCGGACTTCTATGGTGCAGTGGAGTCCGGTGCAAAGACGAGCGCGAGGTAAGGGAAGCGACTGACAGCTGGGGCCCACTGGTCGGCGACCGAGAGAGAGGGAAAGGAGCGCGCGGTGCTGGGCCGGCCTGGTGTGGGCCGCGCGGGGAAAAAATGGGCCGCAGGGAATGAAGGAGAGCGGAGCAGGCCTGAGGGAGAGGAGGAGAGAGCGGGCCGCGGGAGAGAAAGAGGAGCAGCCTTCAGGCCTAAAGGGAGAAGGGAGGGTTTTCTTCTTCTTTTCCTTTTGCATTTTCTTTTCTATTTTCCTTTTCTTATTTTTTTAAACCAATTTCAAATATGAACTAAATCGAGTTTGAATATGGTTTAAAATACACTTTTCAATTCAAATAAAAATGAGAAATTTTGGTAAGTTTTCCAAAAATAAATTTTACAACTTTTTAAATTCTTTTATTTTCAAATTTTCTTTTCTTTTATTTCAAAGTCATTTTCAAACTCATTTCCAAAAGCAATTTAAACCATTTTGAGTTTTAATCAACCCCACTCAACCAACTAAATCAAATGCACCGGCATATATACACATCCATGTTGCTGCTCCTATGGTGAATTTTAATTTAATGAAAAGTTTTATTTCCTAAACTTTCATGAGCACACAAAATACCAAAATGAGTCATTTAAACCTATTTTCAAAAGTACAAATTTTAGGGTATTACAAATCATCCACCAATGACTGCACCTCTGGAGGTCTAAGCATCATGTTTGGATTACTGTCGATTGTCTTCAGCTCAAGTAGGCACCACAATGTCCTGGTTAGCTAAGACTGTTAAGTCTTGCCTACTGATTATCTCACAATGCAATACCTTTGAGGTAATTCCTTGGAGGATTGCTCTACTACCTTGGAAGCCAAAGGACATCCACTTCTCTTTCCAATTAATCTCCACCGGACTATGTCTCTCTAGCCAATCTCTTGTTGTCGCTAGGATCTAACTGCTCCGGTACCAATTTGTCACGAACCCAACACTAATTTCACTCCTTCACTTCTCTTAGTGTATCGGTGGTGTTTAGAACAGAGATTACAGGATCGGTTACACGATCGGGGCAACTAGCTCCCGCTGCCATCTGCGGACGCAGCTGGCCAACACCTCTCTGTCCTCTGTATTTGTTTCCTTCCTCTCCTCTCTCACTATTAGCTCCTAGAAGCGAACTCTCCTACACCATTGTCTAGTTGGGCCCGAAGTACTTCGGATTGGGCTTCTTTGCTCGCTTGGGCCTCATGTCTACTTCTAGGCTACTCTCCGATAGATGACCCAACTACTACTCTTCGATACTGTGCTTCCAAATCACATTTTACAAACCGACAATTATCATCCGGTTTCCTTGTACACAACAAAATGCAAGCGTGAATAATTTATAGGTGTACATGTTTTAGCAAAATCCAAACAGGACCTTAGTGAAATAAGTGATACAGATGTTGTTATAAATATAGAAGGAACAAAATGTAGTCCACGTGCAAATAGAGTGAAGTATAGAAATCAAGTTCAATTCCAGTACAAGATGCTGGTACTACACAGCTGCCTAATTGTGATATATGAAACATGCAAGTTTGCTGCAGCCGACAAACTAATGACTGATCATGCGTTGCTGTGAAGAGGTCTCCTGCTGCGTTCCTCAAGCTCAACAAAGATGTTCCCGTTGTAGATGCCCCTCGCGCGTTCCTTGGTAAGAAACCCATACCTGTCGTGGGCTAGCTGGTAGATCAGCTGCCACTCGGCCTCAGCCGCAGCCCTGCATTTTTATTCTCTTGTGAGATGTGAGCACTATAGTTAGCCTTGAAAACATATGAACTCTCTCTCCTCCCCCCCCCACCCCCAAACAGGCCTGATTAAATTGATGTTTATATGATAGGGAGAAGTATGACGAGTATCAGCAGTTATATTTGTGTGTGTTCAGTAAACAATACCATGATGCAGGATCAAGAACATCCCGGTTGAATGTGAGCATCTCTTCTACCTCCAAGAGCGACAAGGCGTCTTTTCTGATATGAGCATGCTTCGTAAATATTTCGTCAAATTTTTCCTGGACAAACCTGGAAGTAGGAACACAACAATGGTAAATATATTTCCACTTCTATCTCTCTTTGGATAAGGTATTTGTGCGGCTAAATGCTAACTGTATTGGAGTAGTATTTCCAATGACAACAATGGCTGTTATTCACCTTATCTCTAAGTTGTGTTAGTGGTAAGTTTGAATACAAGGTGTTTCTTCTACCTTCCTTTGGAATCATAGGCACCGGTGTCGCTTCCATGAATCGCTTTGTGGATGTACTCCACGTAGATATTTACGTAAGGTGGCAGTGCACCAGGCTGCATTATTGAGTAGAAGTAGAAAACAACCAACGGTAAGAATGAAGCACTGCGAGTTTTGATAACAAATTTGCTCACTGGATAAAAGAGAGCGAGCGTACAGGGTTGGTTAAAGGAGCGAGAGCAGTATGAATTGTTGATGCAGCCGCGGTGGAGAAGGCAATTTCACATCCGATAGCAACAAATCCTGTGTATCGTCGAAGGTACAGAGAAATAGATGGAAAAAGGGTAATTCCGCACGGTGAATCGAACAGATGAACTCCAAAAAAGGGAGATCAATGAAAAATCCCCACATGTCAGATGTTTATAGGTAAAACTAGAATAGACTAGGATCGTCTACCGAGAAAACGTAACTTCTCTTTAATTCAATCTAATATTCTCTTCTATTATTTGTGTCGTTATTTTTTACTAGTAAATGTGACCGTGCGTTGCAATAGGATCTAAAATGTGTTGGAATAAGATATCATATCATGCACGGGTCATGAGTTTGAGTAAAAAATTAAATTAACTTAGTGGTAAAAATCATTGTTTCTTAAGGAGTGAAAGATGAAAATGGTTGTGGTCTCTTATGTATTGATTGTTTTTTACTCTTATTATATTTATTAGAACACAAAAAACATGTGGAGAAAACCACGAAAAGCAATGAAAACAAATTCAGAAAAGGTGAGCTAGTGTCCAAAAACAATCACGAGAAGAAAAATCCGAACATACTTGAAGCCAAGCAGAAAACGGTCATGACAAAAAATTGGAATGTACTCTAGAAAATAATCATGGAAAAAAAATCAGAGTATATTCGGAGCCCAGTGAAAAACGTCCAAATGAGAACATAAAGCAAAACGTACTCCGAACAAGTAAAAACAGACAAAACCAAAAAAAATAATGAAAAAAGAAAATAGGAATGAAACTAAGAAATTCCACCCTTCTTTCCTCTTTATTAGATTTCTATTGGATTAAGATTCCTATTCAGGTTACTCGAAATCGGAGAGATCTAATTGAATTAAAATTCGTAGTTATCCATATTCTTATATTTTTCTATTTGGATTAAGATTCCTATATAGGTTACCCAGAATTTAAGAGATCTAATTGGATTATGATTCGCAGCTATCTAGATTAATTGAAGAAGTCTTGCACTATTATATAAAGAGATAGGCTATAGGCAGTTTGCATATTCACGAGGCTAGTTAAAGGAGGGCCGGACCAAAAAATGGGTGAAAAGAAATTTTGTCTCTTTAATATTATGTATAGATCGGATCCTTTTACTATATCTTGCTCAATTTTTAATAAATACGAAAACATGTAGGTCCAACTCATACATGCCACGGTTTTATTTTTGCGTGCGCGTACCCAGTACCCACGGCAGAGATTGGATCACGGTGCAGTGCAGGTCACGCGCGCCTGAGAAGTGAGATCACACCTTGGAAAGTTTCAAAAGGAGTGAGAATGCCATCTTTGTTCCTGTCGAAGAATGACACATGCATCTGGAGTTCTGTCATGTTGGAGTTGGAGCTACCACCGTCAGGTAGTGCCCTCACACTCACCGCGGCACCTAGAATACACAAAGAAAGGAACCATCGATGTCTGAAACTCAATGCAAGTATATTAATTAATTAGAGAAATTGGCAGCCCAAGAACATGAGAAATTTGGACGGGAAAACGTCACCGCACCAAGAGTTTGGATACTTACAGCAAACGCTCCATATCAGCAGCGCAAATGCAATCGACAACGGCCTCAGGGAAGCCCGCCATTGTTTCCATCTACGAGTTCAGCATCTCCAGTTGTGTGGATATATGGGTTGAGTGCAGCAATAGCATTGGCGCATTGCTCTGCTGCTTAAATAGGTGCAGAGGTAGTAGATGACACTAGACCATCACTGGAAGCTTTGTGGCCTGCTGCCGGCGCTTTACTGAGAGAAAAGCAACGATACGGCACTGGCAAACCGATCGATTCAGGAAAGGCACGCATGTGCATGTGCAGCGTAGTCGGTGGAAGTGCCCGAAGGCTTGAGCCTAGTGCCACCCCTTTCTTGGCTAGAAATGGCAGTTTTCTGTGCAGAACCGGACAGGACTCAGAGGCGTGTGGCACGCCTGCTGGCTACAGAACAAATAGAGTGGAACCAGGTCAAGAGCCTTTCCAAAAGAAGAGGACCCTGAGCCTCTCAAAGTCTCGATCGTTGTAGTGACACTAGAGCAGTGTGAATGCACATGACCGGTGGTGTGACTCATGGCTGTTGCCTGTTGGTACTTTGTGCATTGGAAAATCTATTATTTGCAATGCATTTTTTTAAAAAAAAAATTGGGTGAACTCGAGCATAAGCCGACTTAGCTAGATGCTTATATATCATTCTTCAGTGAACACAAGCCGACTTGGATACGCTTATATCATTCTTCAGTGAACACCCAAGATATTGGTCCATATACTTTTACAATGTACCCAAGACATATATTATGAACTATGGACTCGAAGGCCTAACACAAAAATCACAACAAATATATACTGTACAATATAATATTCGATTCAAATAGCAATCTCTTAATTGCCTAATACACTTTTGTGTTCTGTTATTATGTTTTTACAAAACACAAAAGTGTATTAGGCAAGAGGCATATATGATTCACATCTCACATCTCACATCTTGCAGACGTCTTCTGTTCCTCCAACTTGTAAAACACACTTCCATCATATATGCCTCTTGCAGAGTCCTTGTGAAGGAATCCTTGCTTATCACTTGCAAGCTTGTATGTCAATCCCCATTCTGCTTCAGGTGCAGACCTATATAGATAATAATATAGGCTAAATTTTAACTTTTGTGTAGTGTCTTATTCAAAGGGAACTCATTGCAATTCATTAATAGCAATAATCAATGCATATTACAAAAAATTACCATGATTGGGGGTCTAACGGATCTCGATTTGCTAGAATCATCTCCTCAATCTCCTCAGACGTTAACGCATCTGGCCTGACCTTTGCATGCTTTGTGAATATTTCTTCAAACTTTGCAGGAACAAACCTACAATAATAGCATGGCATGTTTAATTAGTATGCAGGCAAATTTTTTAAAAAAAATAATAAAACATAAAATGGTGTTATTTGTGGTCATGTGGCATGTTTGTACAACATATAATAATGTAAATGTCATTTGTACATATAATGTTGGTCTAAAGTAATGATGCACTCTGTCATTTGTATATATAATGTTGAACTGATGTAATAATGCATTCAGTCATTCAGTCACTTGTACAGTTACCTTCCTTCAGCGTCGTATGCACCTGTATCACTTCCATGCATCGCTTTATGGATATACTCTACGTATATGGATAAATGAGGCAGTGGTGCAGCATTCTGCATTGAATTTTTTTAAAGAAAAATCAGAGAGAATTAAGTTTCTTACTATTATGTGCGAATCAACAAATCAATCTCATTTGTGTACGTATATTGCCATATGGGTGTGTGTGTGTGTGTGCACTCATCGTGTATGGATTTGTTTTTCTGGATAATAGTATTTTAATGGACAGCTATAGAAATCATATGAATACAAGCAAAATTGTAAACAAATATCGGCATACAAAATGGCGACAGATCTAGAGGGCTTATCAACATTCAAAATATGAAAATGTTGCCCCAACTCGGTCATCCGTCACTGGCTCGAATGGAGGAGATGGGTTAAAAGGACAATTTGGAAATTTGTGGGAAAAGAAACAAAAGTTTTGGTTAGATAATGGCAAGAATTTGATAGGAGCGGCATGAAAGGGATATAGATTGAAATCAGTTGCACTAGAAGGATGTAAACTTTTTCTCAACCACATAAGAAGATTTGTAATTTTAATAATGGCATATAAAGGGAATGGACTCATCAGCGAAATTCCTACGTTTATTCAAAATTCTCATTTTATATGTTATTTAAAATAAAGATTTTAGGTCATAAGTTGCACTCTTATTACTACGATGGCATAAACGGTTGGAGCTCCGTTGTTCCATAGGGTTATGCTGACCCCCAATAACTTTTATTATTTATACACCACAATCTTCTACATAAAAATTCTAGACCTCTCTTTCTAATAGAGAAAATAGCATTGCGACTTAAAGAGTGACCCAAGTAAACCCGGTGATATAAATTCTAGCAAGAGGACATGTTGGGTACTACACACTCTAGGATCATGTCATGAAAGAAAAAAACATTCTTAAATTCTAAAAAAAAATAGAAAACAGCCGGTGATTTCATCATCGATAATAATAACCATTTGATCTAATCTGTTTCCAAAAAGATTACCCACTGCCGTTGCTATTATGAACAAGGTCAAAAGTGATTGCAAAATCTTGATCTAAATAATCAACCGTTGTCATTATGGAAAATAACATAGACAAACCCTCTAAATAAAAATCAGCTACACGTAACATGATAGAAAAAAATTATGCATAAACTCTTAGTACTTATTAATCAATCCATTTGGTGAAGCGACAGGTTCCTATTTGTCTGCCACAAGCATATGCTTTCACACTTCTCCGAAAATAGATATTATTTCTGCTATTATTTTGCATTACAGTAGTACTCCTTTGTTCTAAATTGTAAGTCGTTCGGATTTTTCTATATACATAGTTTTTACTATGTATCTGGATATAATGTATATTTAGATGCATTGAAAAAACAGCTTAACTACAAAAACGAAAATAACTTATAATTTAAAATGAAGGAAGTATTTATTAAATAAAACAGTGTGTGTGTGAGAGAGAGAGAGAGAGCAGTGGACTGTACAGGGCTTGTTTTTTGACCAACACCAGCACTGATGGATGCGGCTTTTTTCTCGCAAATACGGCATCACATCCAAGCGCAACATATCCTACAACACCAAGTGTGAGCTCAAAGTAAGATAGGAAATTTTATGCGGTAATTAAACTGCTAAAATCTAAAATGTATATATGAAATTATGAATGAATTTTATTATTTTGTGTTATTAAACTCGCTGATAGAAAATTATCCATGACTAGGACCTGAGACGTGGGGACGTGGACCAGCAGAATTTATTTCATCCATTTTAAATTAAAATATAGTTTATAAAATATTTCTAGCTAACACAACGTAAAATATCAAATAAGTTCAAATGAGTGACTTGTGCGAGAAACGAGACTCATGTTTAAAATTCTCATGGTAGAAAGTGTAGAGGGTAACATATACATGGACGTTTAGGAATATGTGAAAAAGTCAGGGGAGAATAACGGGAAACGAACTATTATATATAGGTTAGATATGATATATGCCGATCGGCCAAGTGAGAAGTATGATTCTTTTGTCCTTTAATTATGATGACAGGAAAGATCCGATAGAGAAAGCAACTCATCATAAGACAAAAGCAGAGCCTGGCGATGCCTGGCGGTGGGGCGCACGACGAGGGTGACCCGGGCGACGAGGGGTTGTGGAGCGCAGCGGCGACGTCGGCTGATTCTGCCGGAGCAGAAGCAGGGGCCGCAGGGGATGCACCGAGGAGCGCGACGCAGGATCCGCCCACGATTGCTGAGCAGGCGACGGCGCCGACGGCATCGACGGCGGAGATAAGGCTCGGACGACCCATCCGAGCACAGCTGTGACCAAGGAGGTCACCTCTGCAGGCGGCCGCTGTGGAGGTTGAAGAGATTACGTGGGAGCCCACTCCGCCCAACAGCTCCTCCGCACAGTTATTCAGCGCGGTGAGGAGTTTAAAATGCTGGAGGAGGGGGAGGCAAGTGTAGAAACTAAGAGGTTGAGGACCGACCTGACGGCGATGATGGGTTGTATTGAGGTAAGGCTGGATACATCCTTTGCTGTGTCTTTTGAAGATCGCAGTCTTTTGATCCTTTGCTCTTTGCGGAATGTCATGAAGGTGTCGGAGCAGCGCCGACGGTAGCTGGAGGAGATGGCCCCAGTGCTGGAAGAAAACAAAAGTCTACAAGCGACGATAAACATCCTCCGGGCACGCCTGCTCCAGGAGCGCCACAGCAGGGAGGATCTGGAGGTGAAAGTGATGGCGCTAGAAAAGGACAAGCAGCTGCTAGAAGCGGTAAACTATTCGCTGAGCGAACAGCTCGGCCGTAGTGGTGACCAATAGAAAGGTATGACTCTGGGTCTTGCTTTGTTAGTGTTCAGCATTTCGAGATATCTGACTGTGACATACAGCACTGGAGATGGAGCTCGGCCCTTCCCGGGAGGCCGTCGGCCAGCTAATTGAGGCGAAGGAGAAAGCGGAGGAGAAGGCCGAGAAGGCCACTGAAGATCTTCAACGTGAGTGCCTCTCACGTGGTTATGACTTGTGAAGCATTTAGGCGCATGCTTAGCATACGACTGCGTTGTTTGTAGAGTACTGGCACCAGGCGCAAGCGCAGTTCAAGGTCTTTGAGACCAAGTGAAGGCACGAGACGAGAAGCTTGAAGCGATTAAGGTGGGAATCCAACACGTGCTTGATTGCATTGGGCTTGAGCAGGCCCGTGGGGTCATCTCGGCTGCCCGGCGATATGCCGTATCAGTCGGTCATCAATCGTTGCCGAGTAGCCTGGTCGGACTTCAAGGAGTTCACGTGTAGTGCTGCACATGGAGCTGTCTTCCACACCCTCGCGCAGCTACGGTTGCACTACCCTTTAGTGGACCTCCAAAGGGTGGTGACCAGGTATGCGCGAGGCACGGATGCAAACAAGATCGCCAGGCTGGAAGACGAGGCAGAGGGACCGGCGAAGAGGTTGGTCGAAGATGTCAAACTGTTCGGTGAAGGGGGGAGCAGTGCTCCGTAGATTAGACAAAACTCATGTTGAATTGTTGTATAATAGTGCTTAGCAACTTTTGTTAAACACTTGCTGTTATGGTATGTTTGTGTTTATATAAACCATCCGAGTAGTAGTGTATAGCTAAGTCTCCAGCCCTATCTAGCATGTTAACCGTAATGCATGGCACAGGGGCCATGTGCGTGTGGGAAGAATAGGGCGTCGCTAAGGAACCGCTGCCGACCACCCATGACGCAGAAGGTGAACGCTCATGCACATGCAGAGAGAAGTCAGAGACAGGGTCGTCTCTAGAGGCGTCCGAGCGTCAACGTGTCTGTTCGGGCATTTGCCTTAGGCGTAGTTGGCGTGTCATCTTTAAGATGTTGTACACAGAAATAGAATCGCTTAGCAGAAAAAAGCACAAAGATAACAATATGGAGAAACATTAGAACAAAAACTTTATTGAATACTCGAGTATGAAAGGTACATATCTTTGAAAGGAGACTATTCAAGGGTAGAAACGCCTAAGAAGATCAATGTGCCAAGAATTTGGGACATCTCTTTCATCCATGTCGCATAGCCTGTAGGAACCTAGTTGGGCGACCGCCTTGACGATGAAGGGGCCCTCCCAGGGTGAAGATAGCTTATGCATTCTGTTGGTCTTCTGCTTCTTGCGGGGCACTAGGTCTCCGACCATGAAGAATTGATCGTTGATGTTGTGGTTGTAGTACCTTCACATGCTGTCAAGGTACTTTGCCATCTGAACACATGAAACCAGGCGCTCCTCCTCTAGGCTGTCCAACTCAACGAGCCAGGCTTGGTCAGAGTTTTCTTCATTGTAGTTCTCCACTCTGGGTGCTCGGAAAGCGATGTCGGCTGGTAAAACGGCCTCGGAGCAAAAAACCATGAAGTATGGAGAGACGCCAGTGTTGCGACTAGGATGGGTCCTTAGTCCCTAGACCACAGCTGGCAATTCCTTGAGCCACTTGCCGGGGTGTTTTTGCTCATTCGTGTAGAGCCTCTTCTTCAATGCATCGAGAATCATGCCGTTGGCGTGCTCAACTTGGCCATTAGCCCTGGGGTGCGCTACCGAGACATACTTAACTAAGATGCACCTTTCGTCGCAGAAGTCCCAGAAATCAGCACTAGTGAACGTGGACCCCAGGTCGGTGATGATGCTGTTCGGCAGGCCGAACCGGTGAATTATGTCATCAAACAGCTTGGCTGCCTTCTTCGTTGTAGCTTGGACCAGGGGTTTGTATTCGATCCACTTGAAGAATTTGTCGATGCAGACATAGACCCAGCGGAAACCTCCCGGCGCGGGTTTGTAGGGCCCAATCATATCCAGCCCCTAGCATGCGAAGGGCCAAGACGCAGGAATCGTTTGCAAGGTCTGGGCCGGGACGTGGATTTGCTTAGCAAAAAACTGACAATTCTCACACCAACAAACAAATGCCTCAGCATCAGCAACAGTTGAAGACCAATAGAAACTAGCTCGGAAGGCTTTGCCAACCAGTGTTCTAGAGGCTGCGTGATTGCCACTAGTGCCAGCATGGATCTCC